GGTGCTAAGCAACTCAGTGAAAACCTGTCTCTAAATAAAATACAAAATAGGGCTGAGGATGTGGTTCAGTGGTTGAATGTCCCAAGTTCAATCTCTGGTACTCCCACCACCCCACCAAAAACAAAGAACTAGAAAAGGAACTGTACTTGCATACAAACCTGTGAAGTCCATAACATGCAAATTCCCTCACCACAAAACACCCCAGTGCTGAATGGATTACAACAGATACAGTTTTAAATGCATTTTAAATATTACAGAGCCCATAAGAAAATAAAGACAATGCCCAAGGACAAGAAAAAGAACTATAAACCTAAATCTATAACTCATTAAATCATGCTTCCCTGGGAGTAATATCATTTCCAGGAATCCTAAAGTCCAGGGAAGGAAGCTCCACTTCCCAGAAGGGTGGCCTGGGGAAAATCCACCTTCTACAAAAGCAAACTGATGACCTATATTTATAGACCTATATTATAGCTTAGGCAGAAAAATAATGACAGCAACAATTTCCCCAGAGCAAGCCTGAGTTGAAATTTATACTACCTTGAAATTAGGGAAATGCGGGCTGGGGATGCGGCTCAAGTGGTAGCGCACTTGCCTGGCATGTGTGCGGCCCGGGTTCGATCCTCAGCACCACATACAAACAAAGATGTTGTGTCCGCCAAAAAAACTAAAAGAATAAATATTTTTAAAAAATATCTCTCTCTCTCTCTCTCTCTCTCTCTCTCTCTCTCTCTCTTTGAAAAGAAAAGAAATTAGGAAAATGCCTGGCGAATACATTAAAGCTGTCCAGGACTGAGCAGGAACAAATAAATGTTTTCTTATAGAAAACATCCCCATAAAATTAATGAAAGAAATAAGCAGCCTTGTTTTAGAGTCAGCAGAAGCAACACTGAATAGACAAGACTCTCCTCCAAGGGCTTCAGATATTCAACTGTAGAAAAGAAAAAAGGAGAAGGCCTAGAAAAAGCTAGACCAAAGAAAGCACAAAGTAAGACAGAAAGAAATCCAAGCTAGCATCATTATAAATGGACTAGACTCACCCATTAATTTATATTAGCATATTTAATAAATTTTAAATCCCCACCTTGTGTATTTTTTGAATGTATAAATTTTCACAATGAAAAAGACTATTTTGAGAGAGAATAACCAAAAAACTTCTGAATCTTTAAACTTCAATATACAGGGCTACARGGCTACAATATATAGTCAAAACGTTCCCCTTCCAAGTCTAACAAACAGTGTAGTCCAGGACCTTCTTTACTCTCAAAGCACTTCTCACAGCTTGCTGGGAAGAGGTGCCTGGGAGGCCAGACACACAGGTGTGAATCCTGGCAAACCAATTACCAGTTAATGATTCCAAGTAGTAACTCTCTGTACCTCAACTAATTCAGTTATAAAGTGGTCGTAATACTACTTACCAGGATTGAAAAATTTATATACGTGTATATTTGTGTGTACCACACAGTTCTTAATATAGAAAATACACTCAATAAATAGTAGCTATTATGAATGTTATAGTTAGATAGGTGGGGTCTCAGGGAGAAAGAGATCCTTACTAGGTGGAGATCTGGATCTATAAGCTTGACCAGCCATGCTTGTCTCTTTAATGAGATGAATAAAATCTCCAGTGTTTGCTTGTACTAGATCAACTGGAACAAAAACATAATCAATTTGAATGTCACTAGATTCACAAAGACCTATACAACCGATTTATAGCTAGCTGCTTAACCAAGAAGAAATATTCTAAACCCCAAATATCAAATGACTGACATGGAGCTTGATTTTTTTCACAAAAGCTTACCTGGGAATCTGCACTTTTCTTACCAACCCTGAGAGCTTTACTCTTCTGAATGTCTGCACCCTGCCTTTGGGGTGTATGTATCCTGCTTTTGCTGTCCTTTAATAAAACTTTGCTTGTGCCCTACTTTCTATACGTCTTGAAATACTTTTCAGCAGTGTYAAGAACCCATTCAACCTGCCCCAGATATATTGAAGTCCCACTGCCCCCTTGGAGGGAACTCTTCAAAACCTGTCTGGTGACAATATGAGGAGAACATTAATTCATTAACTTGACAAGTATCACAGAATGTCTCCTACATATTGGTCCCAGTGCCAGATTTTTAGCAACACAGAAATGAATAAATGACTTTTTATTTTTTTTTATGTTTTTTGTACTGGGGATTAAACTCAGGAGCACTTGACCACTGAGCCACATCCCTGATCCCATTTTGTATTTTATTTAGAGACAGGGTCTCACTGAGTTGCTTGGTGCCTCGCTGTTGCTGAAGGGGGCTCTGAACTTGCAATCCTCCTACCTCAACCTTCAGAGTCACTGGGATTACAGGTGCGCACCACTGCACTCTGCTAAATAACTCCTTTTTTATGACATTATCTATCAAGTTTATTTTGTGCCAGACATCTACCTACCTATTGAGATTATTCTCAATCCTCCTGTGGTATCATAAAATGAGTATTGTTCCCTCCATTGTCCAGGTGAAGAAACTCAGAAATTGAGAGACTTGGTTCAATTCCCAGTAAGTGATGGAAAAGGGACTAGTGTTTGGGTGCCATCTGACCCAAAGCCTATGTTACCTCTCTGCTTCGCTCAGATGAGGAGCTTCAATTTCAGGCATATACAAAGGATAATGTCAGTAGACTTTATTTTCATTATTTTTGGCCAAAAACCAGATAAATCTAAAAATAGTGGGTTTCATAACTAGAGAATACAGCACTGTTGAACTAAATTCTCTGCCAAGTTCTTGACCTCTCAGTTTTTGTTCCTTCTTTAAGAGGGAAAGTAACGTTTCAACTGAGTAATGTTCACTTTAAAGTACCTAAATTCTATTTTTCACACACAAATATTTTTCTGGATGCTAAAGAATGAGCTGGCATTTCTCAGAATTTTTTGTTTATTTTTTGATGGGGGGATGTACTTACATAATGACGGATGGTCCAATGAGATTTAATAGGGAAGCGGACTTGATTTAAAAAGGGAAGCACTTTCCGAAATGTTTTTACCCTTCCCAAATTGAACAGGGTGTGGTCACCCAGTGGTTTGTAAAATGTATATACTTGTATATTTGTGTGTATGACACTAAGGTACTGTATCCTGGTCTGGGGTTGTGACTCAGTGGTAGAGTGCTTGCCTATATGTGTGAGGCACTGGGTTCTATCCTCAGCACCACATTAAAAAAAAAAAATTATATATATGTATAAAATAAAGATTTTGATAGATCAATAGATACTATATCCTTCTACAGATGCTACAAATTATATTATAGGAAGGGGAACAGTTGTACCTATTAAGAGACAATCATTATTTCTCAAGACTGAAAATAATTCCAAGATTTTACTTTCAGGGAGTGAACAACATTGAGTCAATGTAACAAATCTTGAAAGGTTATGCCTAGGTTCTCTATTTCTTTTAAAAATTAAAAAAAAAAAAAATCGCCAGGGGTTGGAGGGGATGTGACTCAGTGGCAGAGCACTTGCCTAGCATTCAGGAGACCCTTGGGTTCATTCCCCAATACTGTAAAAATAAATAAATGAATGAATAATAAATAAATAAATAAGGAATCTTTCTTTAAGCACAGCTGCCTAAACAATGTTGTACAGACTGCAACAACACCATTCACCCTTAGWTATAACAAGATTTTGTTGGCCTCTTCAGTTCAAAATTAAGTCAGGTGGTCTTAGTAAAATGTTAACAACTGGGAACCTATTATCCTCAAATTAAAAAGAACTGATTAACAAATTGTGTGGGTTAAATACTTGAAAAATATATAAATAAGTACCTTTAAAAAGCAAAGCATTTTCACTCTTCCACTCATTTTTTAGAGTGAATCACACCTGAAACTGGAAGAGAGCTCAGAAATTACCTCACCAGTTTCCTATTTTTGCAGGAACTAAATGGAGACTGAAATCACTGTAATYCAACTTGTTTATATATTTTCTTACATCACCATCTTTGTTGTTACCTAATGTGGTTTTATACATTTTGAATTCATCACTCATCATCTTTTTCTGCTGTATACTGATCACAACTTCAGGACCAGAACTAAAAGGGAACATTTTAAATCTCCAATATGAAATCATATGCAAATCAACAAATAATTTTATTTAATATCAGAAAATGTGTGAAAGTAATTTATTTGTATTTTTGCTGGTTGAATAAGGGTTTTGTTTCACAAGCTGGTCTACATTCCATACTTCTCTGGTTATCACATAAACTGGTGATAGGAAATTTTAAGTTTTGCAAATGGGGTGGGGTAATTCCTAATGTGTTCTAGTTTCAAGCTTCCCTGGGGAGAATTGAACGCATTTACAAAACAGAGGAGGTGATGTGGCCTTAAATAGATTATCCTGAGAATTTCTCCATTACTAAGAATTGATACGAATTTCAAAATCAAAAGGCTGCATTGCTGAGCCCTAAATTTATCAACATGAAAACAGCAAAATTCCGTTTCCTGGTATTAGGCATGTTTCCTTAATAACAGACTTGCCGCTTTCCCTTCAGGGTGGAAGTTAAGCGTCCTCGGAAAAGGGAAAGCCAGAGCACTAAGGATAGGCAGCCCGGGTCACACCCAACAGCGAGGCTGCTGGACCAGGATGAACATCAGCCTCCGCATTCACAGTAGTAGGTCTGCCAAGAGCAGGAAATTAGCGAAAAGATTAGACTTATAAATTTCGGGATCAGAAAACAAGATTTGCTGATACCTAACAAAACTTTCTTTAAAAAGAGTTACACCTTTACTTCCGGAATTCTTTGAGAAGTGACCCACAGAGCAACCTCAGAGCTAGGTGGATTTCTGCCCAAGGTCTTTCGGGGGAAGGGGGACAAAATAAGTAAAGGGGTGTGTGGCCGCGAGCAGTGGTCTAGTACTAGAGGTTTCCTTTTGCAGCTGGAGGAAAGGGTACACCTGCAGGGCACTGGGCGCGCCCCTCACCTGCAAAAGCGCGCCCTTCCAACCCTTCCCTTCCCCCGGCGCACAGGCGCTTACCTGTGGCGTTGGCGGATGCGTAGCGCCTGAAGATGCCCATCTGAGCCGGTGCCAGGTGCGACGGAGGCCTAGTCCAGGGCCGGGGGGTCCCGGGCGGCAGGTAGGAGAAGTTGGACTTTCTTCGGATCGCCACCCGCCTGAAGTTGTAGCCGCCGTCCACGCTCACGGTGAGGGGATCGCTGGCGGCTCCGCCCTCTTTCCTGCCGGGTTCCAGCCCCAAGMGCCCACTCTGGCGGCTTCTCGCGGACGATCGGACCCCAGGGGGCGTCGCCTGCATGGCCAGGTTCGGAGCGGTTCCCGAGGGATCCGCACAGCAAGTGCCTCGCGGTCTCTTCCTGGGACGCTCCGGGCCTCGCGGGGAGTTTGGCTCTGACTGCTTCTGCGGCAGCCCCACCGCCTCGCTCTCTGCGGCTCTCGCAATCACCTGATGCTCCTACCGCAGCTGCCCGGCCGAGGCAGCCTCCACCCCCTCCTCTCCGGAGCCTATCGCCCGCAGGCCCCCCAGGGAGACTATCCCGGAGGCGGGGAGTCCAGGCTGTTTGCGCCGCGGCGGCCGCCTCCTCCGGCCGGGGAAGCAGCCAAGGACGCACTGTGCTGAGCGCAGCGCCCAGGGCGCGGCCCCGGAGCCGGCTGGCTGTGGCCGCCCCGCCCCGCCGCGGACTCGACCATTGGCCCCGGGAGCCGCGCCGGCGCACACCTGATGYCGCACACCTGGCGCGCTGGGAAGGTCGCTGCGCTCACCTGCGCACAGCGCACTAGGTTGGGAAGAAAATAAGTCCAGCTTCTCTTGAACTCTGTTCAGGGTGCCTGCCATTCTCACAAACCCACGCTGAGGGTCTCATACGTTTTTCAAGATGTTGTGCAGAGCTCTTGATACTCAGACAAGGAAACCAAAGTGTGGAGCCTACCGTGGATCACCGAGCATTWAGAACCTAGAATCCCTGCATCACAATCTGCCACGCGCGCAGTGGGTCCCAGAACGAAGAAAGGAAGAGAAGAGGTGGAGCTAACAATGCATAGGTTTCCAGAAAAGTAGACCTTCATCATCGTGATCATTTTCAGSACTTCATTAGTAGTGCACTTTAGAGTTCTTTTAAAATTGCCGATTTTTAACACAAACTATAGACAAATTAAAGAAAATGAATTTTTAAGTGGCGCRAGCCTGTAGTACCACTACTGGGGAGGCTGAGGCAGGAGGATCGCTTGAGCCCAAAAGTGGAGTCCATCGAACCAGTTTCTAAAAATAATAAACAAACAAACAAATAAATAAATCACTGCTGTTTCTAATAACTAAGAGGCCTGTTTCCAAACCACAGAGAAAGAAGGGGAAGATCCCCAGCTCAAGCAGATTTTCCCCAGTCATTCCCTCCATCTTGGAGGTCACCCCATGTGGCATGGTCTTTCAACCAACTCCCTGAAATGTAACTCATATCCCAACACTCCTCAAGAAACCTTTGTGGAAGTCAGTTGAACTCTCTCAGTCTCCTGGGCTGCTACTCAGAAAACATACAAACTAACCCTTCAAAGAAGGAACTACTCCTCTCTTGTTTTGTGTGGTACCAGAGATTGAACCCAGGGACTCTGCATGCAGAGCAAGCAGTGTACCACAGAGCTATGTCCCCAGCCCCTATTCCCCTAAWTCTTTAATGTATCTATTTTAGATCTTGTTAAAGGAACTTTTTGCTCCTTTAGGAGTTATTGTCCTTTTATTACTGTGTTGCACCTAGTCATTATTTCTCTTTCTATTTAAATGCAGAGTTGCCTACTGCTGAGAGCCATTGCCAAGTAGGAATGACACATGGCAATTTCTTTGTCAGCCTACCCDATGTTGCTTAGAGGAAGGACTCTCCATATTGGACCCAGGTCATTTGCAGTGACATTGCATGTAAGGTGACCTTGCTCAAGGACCAGGGCGGATCCAAGTTTAGGACGGATCAGGGTTTAGGGCTCTCCTGGGGTTTAGGGCAGTTCCAGGTTTAAGATGTACCCTACTGGGAATAGGGCATATCCTGCTGACTCAGGCCTGCTCCTGGAGTTCCCGTTGAGTTCTCCTGGGATTCAGAGAGTATGTGGGATTTTCCCCCAGAACGTGATTTTCCCCAGAATGTGTTTGTAGAGGGCCGGTGTGAGTTCGGGRATAAAGAATTGCTGTTTGAATCTACAAAGCTGTGAGTGGCTCKTGATTYTGTGCYCAGCCAGACTGCGGCAGCCTACTGTGCCAAAATATTGAATATCAGCTTGTATATATAKTATTGATAYTTTATTTGTTAATACAGCTAATAAGAAGTTTGCTGTTTATTCATCAACACATATTGAACAAGAAATGCATTGGGCCCCAGAATACAGTGCTGAATAGCATAGAAGAGTACTTAAACTCCATGTTTCTGTGGCTGGGACAATGCTGAATGCTGACCAAACTGTCTATCTTGGGCAAACAAGGATAGTGCACTTAAACTTTTCAAGAGAAAAATTATGAATGATWTAATTAAGAAAAATCTAACTTTTGCAGCAGATTTGCTCTTATTTTAATCTTACTCCAGAGTTGGGGGTGTAYCTCAGTAGTAGATCATTTGCTTAATACACAAAATATACTAGTTCTATCCCCTACACCACAAAAAGAATGATAAAACTTCTCTCACTTGGATAATAAATTGTGTTATTTCCTCAGTAAAATGAGTTGTAAACTTATTAGTTATTAACTTTGATGCTGTCATTAGGTAGGAGTTTATATAAATGTCATTAAAGTAATAAAGGTCACTAAAGGGTATGAGTCATACTGACTTTGTGTAGTAGCATTAGGAGATTGACATAAGATAATTTCATAAGGACCTAATTGAAGAAGATGATACAAATATGTAACAGAATAATATAATAATAATTAGTAAACAGTGTAATTTGTGTATGTGTGTGTAGTACTGGGGATTGAACCCCGTGGTCCTCTACCATGAGCTATACCCCCAGCCATTTTCATTTTGAGACAGGTTCTTACTAAATTGTCCATGTTGGCCTTGAACTTGGGATCCTCCTTCCTCAGTCTGTTGAATAGTTGARATTACAGGTATTTGCTTCCATGCCTGGCTAACAATAATGATACTTTTGAGTTGGTACAAATTAAGATTTCAATAAAACTTTATGTGTGTATAGTAAATACTTTATATAAGATTAAGTAATTTCTAACATGTTAATTTTATTTCTGTCTATATTTGAATACACACACACACATACACACATACCATATATGCATACATACACACATACACATACATACCTCTTAGAAGTTTTACACAAATTTGATGTGCTACTGAAACTGCCCTAGTACAAGTTTGGCCTTATACCTCCTAAAAAGGAAATAATCAGTCAATATCTTTTATTCATTTGGAAACTGGAATGGAAGCACTTGCTTTGTAAAATGTGTAGTCCCTGTCATCATGGTGCTTATAGCTCATCAGATTAGGAGAGGAACACCCAAGCTGAACTTGATCTATCAATAGACCATTTCTAAAGGAAGTTAAAGGGGGACCCAAAGAATAAGGAGTTGGCCTGGTCTAGGGGTAAGGGGGTATAGAAACTAGAGTTAGATCATTAAGGACTGTGGAAGTCATAGTAACAAGGGAATAATTTTTAAGAGTTTTAAGYAAGAAGAAATGACAGGTTTGCATATTAACAATCATGTTAGAATGTCCACATCCCTTATTTTTAAGGGAATTACACCAAAAATAGTGCTTACTCCTGGATTTTTTTGGTGGGAGGGTACTAGGGGTTGAACTCAGTAGCATTCTACCACTGAGCCACATACCCAGCCCTATTTTGTATTTTATTTAGAGACAGGGTCTCACTGAATTGCTTAGTGCCTTCTTGCTTTTTGCTGAGGCTGGCTTTGATCCTCCTGTCTCAGCCTCCTGAGTTGCTGGCATTACAGGTGTGCACCACCGTGCCAAACAATCCTGGGTTTTTTTTTTTCTTTTTTCTTTTTTGCACAAGGCCTTGTGCATGCTAGGCAAGCACTTTACCACGGAGCTACATCCAAGTCCCAATCTTGGATAGTTTCATCTCAGAGGATTTATACCTCCATGAATAAGTGAATAAATGAAACGCTGGGGAAATTTATTTAGATTATACATGAATAGAGGATTTTAGGAAACGTTCTTTATCTTTGTAGACTATATCTTACACCTTGCTGTTACCTACATCATATTTTTTAGTTTAGTTTTTATTGTGGTAATGTTATGATAATCTGTTTTGTTAAGTATCTCCTGTATAAACACTGCTGAGCTACCACACCAACTCCAAGTAGCCAGGATAATTAGGGCACAGAGTGATGGGATGCAATCCTGCATTCCCACTCCTCTCTTTCTTGATCAGGAAACACAAAGCTAAGTCACTGAATATTTAAGCTTTCCACATGTTATTGAGTATTCTGGTTATTGAATTAGCAGTACATATTGATTTACTAAGACYTCCACCAGCACATGCTTTCTTTCAGTGGGCTATTTCTGTGCTAAAAAACTAACCTGTGAATGAAYAGGTCCAGAACATAAAGGTAAGTTTGTTCATTCCAGGGATTCTCTGAATTCTCAAGCCACACTCTTATTCCATTAGCTCTAAGATGCCATAATTGGGAGAGGCACTAAGAAGGAACAGGATTGGAAACCATGATGAAATGTTTTCATGGTTCATCAGTGACTCTTGGTACTAGAAAATATCTTTGATGTGTTTGTTTTGTTTCCTGTAGGGGTTTTGGTTGGGAGGGATATGGATGTAGGTCCTGAGCTACTATAGCCAACTTGTGACCAGGGGRAGACTCTGAAGATGGCAGASTAGGACAATGACCATACTGTTAAAAATTAGTTCATTCAAATTTTAAGAAAAGGACCTAAAATCTTGAAATTACAAAGTCTTGTACTTAACATTTTATTGCTGCTTAGTAAGGTTTCTTTTAGCATGTATACATGTAACTTCTTGCTTTTTAATGAGGTGATTTAGATAGCTGGTCAAGTTATGATCTGTGGGCCAACTCAAGCCCACCATTTTTTTATTTTTGTAGAGCTTATAAACTAAGCATGACTTTTAATTTTCTAAATAATAAATTTTTAAAATATACATTTTTTTCTCTTTTGATGTTGGGTATTGAACCCAGAGCCTCATTTTTGCTAACTAATCCTATTCTCCATCTCTGAGCTATACCCCAGATCCTGAAAGAAAGTCAGAAGTATATTTTATGAMATATGAAATTATATAAAATACAAACTTGTGTCTGTAAACAAAACTTATTGAACTCAGCCAGTTTATGGCTGCTACAGCAACAGAGTTGAGTAGCTGTGACAGAGACCAGATGACAAGCAAA